GACTGCAGGAAGGCAGAGCTTGTGGCATCAGAGCAGTTAATGTTATTTAGCGCTCGGCTTTGTAATAAAGCCTCTTGGCTCCGTTTCTCTATTGTTCCCTTTCTCTGGTAATGTCACCAAACTTGGACAGAAGCTTCCCAAGCTGTGCGGTTGCCTTGGGCTGAGTTTGCTGAAGCTCTTGGGAGACAGAGAGGGGGTAGAAAGCAAGCTTGGCATTTATGAGAATGAGATAGAGGGGGAAATTCAGTGCTTTGCTTATGGCAAAAAGTCCTGCTGTTGTTCCCCTTTAGGAAGTCCTACTTTGGGGCTGGACCTGTCCTGGGGACATGCCCTGGACTGGGCTGTGCACAGACCCCATCAGCACTTGATCAGGCTCACTTTGTGTTGTGCAAGGACAAAGCTCTGATGATCCCACCCAGGGAGCATCCTCTGTCCCTCTGGACCCAAGCCCCATGTGCCCTGCCCCTCACTCCACAGCTGCCTGCCCTTCTCTGCTCTCCCTCCCAAGGCTCAGCTCTTGACACGCATCTCTCTACCTCCCAAGCATCTTGGGGGGCTTATTTCCAGCAGCTGGCATCCTTTCCAAATCTCTCTCTACCCATCTGTTGTTATCAAGCCTCCTCTCTCTTTACTTTGCTTAATTTCTATCCTTCTCTTGGTTGTCTTAGCCATGCCTGTGTCTCTTTGCAGATGCCCAAGCATTTGCTTTCAAGTGCCTCAGGCTGATGCCTGCTGTGATCTTCTTGCAGGAGCTGCTGCTTGCCTGGGGAGGGGGACAGTGTGCCCGAGGCATGTCTTGAGGAGTGCAGCACTCATAGAAGTTGCCCTGTGCCCTCCCCGAGCAGAAAGTTTGTCATTGTGTCTCTTTCTTTCCACATGACACTGTCAAAACGTGGCTGAGTTGGGTTGGCCTCCTGGCCAGGGGGAGGTTGCACCTTCTCATGGTGCCCTTCATGTCAGGGTGGTCTGACCTGTGGCTGGGGATTTCAGGAAATAAGTTCCACTTAATTTTGGATAGCTCAGGAAGGATTTTCTGGAAGAGGCTGAAATCCCATTGGGAAGGATGGTTGGCATCAGCCCGTGTCAAGTGAAGGCTCCCGTGCTGTGTGCTGCGCTGCCCCGCTCCGCACCTGGCTGCTCTCCCCTCATAAAACCCCCTTATTTCTCCCTGTGGCTTGGATGATGCCACCTCCCCTTTCCTCCTTGGACAGAGCTTATCCCACCTTCTCATCCCTGGACACATCTGACACCCCTTTTTCTGGGGCTGGCAGCGAGTGCTCCCGCCTGGATGGCACGAGTGCCGCCACAGATGGATGCGCCGCTCGGCGCCGGGGATGCTGCTGCATCCTAATTGCTGGCATCTTTACTCGTTACGAGTGTAATTGTGAGTAGACGTTTGTTTTTGTATTGATAATTAGGGACTGGAACAGATGGTGGAGGCTTAGTTTAAAGTAATGTGTCCATTAAAGAAAATCTACTGTATACAGCTGAAGATTCTTCACTCTAAGAGAGCTCAGCGCGCTGTAGCAGAGCTCGTCTTCTCCCTAACGAGGACTTCAGCCATTACAGCCTCGTCAGCTGCCTTCCAGGGATGCTCAGGTCCCACAGATTCCTCCAGGGGAGCCTGTTGAGCACCCTCCTGGGCAGAGCATCCCCTGGGACATCACCGTCAGGTGTAGGAGCTGCTGGAGGTGGCTCCTGCCTGTGGGGCACTGAGCCCTCACTGGCACGGCGGTGGAACGGGCACTGGGTGATGCTGGTGGATGTGGTTCTCCCAGCATTGCTGTGCTGGATGTAGGAGGCATGGAGAGATTATGTCCCCCTGCACTGATCCCCACCCTGCTCGGGCTGAGGGGATGAGCACACCTCTCCCAGCAGGACCCCCCGCGCCTACCCCAGTTAATGCCCACGGGGTATTAACACCCAGTGCCAAATAACAAGGACAGGTCCTGGCAGCAGGAACTGAGGAATGTGGGAGGAGAGATGTGAGGTGTCCATGTGGCTTCTCCACTGGTCCATGGCAATCCCCTCATTAGCAGGCAGAGCAAAGGAGTTTTACTGCCTGTCCCTCCTCCCAAGGGATGGCTGGCTGGGGGACAATCCCCGTGTGTCCCACCAGCAGCAGTGTTTTGCAGCCAAGAGATGGAGGGGTGAGCCACCAGTTCCCTGGGCCATGAACAGCGTCTCCTCCAGTGTCACAGCATCACTCCTGCTCCCTGAAAATGAAGTAAAATACAAGATTTCCTCCAAGAGGAAGTAGCAGAGGTCAATGGGAAGTAGCTCAGCTGAGCCTGTCTGGTGCCAGTACCTCTGAAGTCACTGAGTTTGGGTGAGTTCAGTGGGAATGTGAGCTGAAAGGGGGGATTGAACCAGTTCATATTATTTTATTAAAAAAACAAACCAAACAAAAACAACAACCAAAACCTACCAAAATAAGCCACCAAACTATTTTACCAGGTTATGGATCTCCTTGTATATGGCAGTGTCCTTGGGTTTCAGGGCAGGAGATGGTCTGCAGAGGGTCAACCTTTTTAGCAGGGGCTCTGAGCCCTCTTTGTCTGTTGGTTTGCAAAATGCTTTAGAAACATGGAGCTGCTGAAGTGCAACTTATCTTAGAGTCACAGATTGGTTTGGGTTGGAAAGGACCTTCAAGATCGTCTAGATCCAGCCCCCTGCATGGGCAGGGACACGTCCCACCAGACCAGGTTCTTCCAAGCCCCATCCAACCTGGCCTTTCATTTCAAATATCTGGTATTCACACATTCTCACTCTTTTATATACAGAATTTTTCTTGCTTTGATTCTTTGCTAAGGGGAAAAAAAGGTGAAAGTTTAAAAAACAGGTGTCATTAAATTAAGCCTTTAAAGATGCAGCTGCAGTGGAAACTCTGTGAGTGTCGCCTCCCTGGCCAGAGGCCATGTAGTCCCTTAGGACTCTGGAAACCTCCAGAGTGAGAGCTTCTCTGTGGTGTTTTGTTTGCCAATTTATTCACTTGCTTCTCGGTTTATTTAGTTATTTTGAAGTCTCCAGCTTCAGGAGCTGCTGTGTGCCCTGGTGGTTTTGCTGCTGTGCCCTCCTGCTTTCTTTCCAATACATGGAAAGGGGCCAGGAATACCAGGAGGTGGGTTGGGACTGGGTGATGTTTGCTTGGCCTTTTGCTTCCCCTTCCTCGTCGATTTATGCAGAGGCCTTTGGGGAGGACCAAAATAGGAGGGGTGAGGCACCTTCCAGTGCCTGAAGGGGCTCCAGGAAAGCTGGGGAGGGACTTGGGACAAGGGCAGGGAGAGAGAGGATGAGGGGGAATGGATGAAAACTGGCAGAGGGGACATTGAGGTGAGATATGAGAAAGAAATGTTTCACTGTGAGGGTGATGAGAGCCTGGCCCAGGTTGCCCAGGGAAGCTGTGGCTGCCCCATCCCTGGCAGTGTTGAAGGGCAAGTTGGATGGGGCTTGGAGCAGCCTGGGCTGGTGAAGCCCCTGGCAGTGCCTACAGCAGCATCCTGGAAGCTTTTGGGGCTGCAAAAGTTTTGTCAGCAACCAAGGGGCCTTTCTGCTGCATCTCAGAGGGTTTGCCTCGCTCCCTCTGCCTCTGCAGCCCCACTTGTCTTTCTGGTAGCCAGGCTGGGTTGGCAGCTCTGGCAGGGATTTTGGGAAAGGGAGTGTTTATCACCAGAGGCAGGGTGGGGAGCTCCTGGTCACGCTTCTCCAGCTTCCCATCCCGGAGCAGCCACCAAAGGGAGGGGTGGGAAGATTAATGGGAGTCTCGTTTCCCGCTTGCGATGGCTGGAGCAGGCGTGGAGAGATTAAAAGCAGCAGGCCGGCAGCAGCTCGTATTCCTGGGCTGATTTGGATTTCCTGAGCTTTCTTTCTCTGCTTCCACCCGTTTTCCTGGCGCCGCAAAGCTGGGAGTACCTGGGAGCAGGGGGAAAGGGGGGGAGGGGGATGCTCAGCTCTGCCAGCCAGCACTTCGCCTCCTCCCATTTGGTGGAGACACAGGAATTAAGGAAATTAATCTGCGTGTCTGCTTGCTGCAAACAAATAAATACAACCTGGAGGATTTTCCCCATCTGTTTCTATATGTTGTGGCTCTCACTTTTGTTCTTGTTTTATTGGGTTTTTTTTTGTTATTTGTTGTATTTTTAAGAATATAAGTAGGGAAGTGTCAGCTGTGTTACAGCTTGTATTTCCCACCCAGTCCTCCCATCAGCAGAGGAACATCAACCCAACAAGGGGATTTGAGTTTGTTTGTTTGTTTATTTGTTTGAAGTCACTCTGACAAATAGTAACTGGGTACAAGGACAACTCGGGGCACCAAACAGATGTGGTGGGTAAAAGGGGATGTTGGACATGGAGGGATGAAGTGAGTAGCTTCAAGCGCGTTGGATGGGACTTGTTCAAAAGCCTGTCCAGCAGTGCTGGGGGAGAGGATGGGCTCTGCCTGCCAGGAGAGGCTTTGCTCCAGCCTCTTCAAACTCCCTGCTTTATGGAGATTGCACTCCATAAAATCATAGAATCATGGAATTGTTTGGTTTGGATTGTGACCTTCAAGATCATCCAGTTCCAACCCCCTGCATGGGCAGGGACACCTCCCACCAGCCCAAGTAAGCCCCATCCAACCTGCCCTTCAACACTGCCAGGGATGGGGTATTTCCCTGGCACCATTTCCCTGGGCAGCCTGGGCCTGTGTCTCACCAAAATGCAGCATGCTTCTTCATTTTTTAAATTAGTTTTAGTTGGTAAAGCTGGTTTCCTTCCCTAGGCTTGGAAGGGTCAGAGATGGTAGTGTGGGCTGGTGACTCTTTGCAAAGAGACTTGTCCTGCAGTGTTTGCTCTGTAGTGGAGCTGCCCTTGGTTCATTGGCTGTGTTGGGGCACCTGAGGTAGATCCACATGCTCCGTGAAAGCAGCTGAATGTTTTGCTGTGGCTCTTTGCTCACAATGTCGTTGAAAACTTGGGGAGTAACCACTTGGCTTTTGTTTTCTTGTATTTCCTCAGAAACTTTGATGGATACTCGGACGGCGACAGCAGAGCTAGGCTGGACTGCCAACCCTCCTTCGGGGGTAAGTGCCACTTGGCCAGCTGACCCTGGCACCATCTCCTGGGGTTCCTGCTGCTTCTCTTGATACGCAGGTGGGGGGGAGCTGGGGAAGTCACACAGGAGCAGCATTGCCAGGGCTGAGCATCCCTTTCCTGAACTGATCCTGGGGTCTTGGCAAAGGTGGAGCTTTCCTCCATCTCCAGGCTCTTTCCTCCCTTGCCTGTCCTTCCAGGTGAAGGGTCCAGCCCCCTCACTCCTCTCCAACCCCCTGCTCGTGCCTTCCTTCTCCTGTGCCAAGAGGTTTGTAATTAGGAAACATTAGCAGGCTCCAAACAGCTTTCATACCTGGAACATCACCCGTAATTGCACTCGGCAGTGCTCTTCCCTGGCTATTAATGTCACTTTTATGAAGTAATGAGGAACAAAACACCCTGAGGCACTTAAAACATCTTTTTTATATCATATGAGCCTTTGAGGAATGGAAGCATAAAATAACCTGACTCACATTCCCCTGGCAGAGAAAGAGACTGTGCTGGGGAGGAGAGAAGTGTCAGTGGGAGGGGATGTGAGGTGATGGATGAACATCATGGTGGGACAGGCTGGTCAGGCAGGGTCAGGTGCAGCAGCTGGATCCATCCCTAGGGTCTCATGGTCCTCATTGAGTTACTGATGAGTCTTCTCCTTTGTAGGAGTGTATATTAGAACTTCCACAAAGTGTATTTGGAATCTGGCTGAATAGGAGCCAGTGTGTGCTCAGGTGGCCAAGAAGCCAACAGCATCCTGGCCTGTATCAGCACTAGTGTGACCAGCAGGACTAGGACAGTGATTGTACCCTCTGTGCTGGGCACTGGTGAAGCTGCACCTCAAATCCTGGGTTCAGTTTTTGGACCATTACTACAAGAAGGACATGGAGGGGCTGGAGTGTGTCCAGAGAAGGGTAATGTAGCTGGGAAAGGGACTAGAGCACAAGTCTGATGAGGAGGAGCTGCGCATGTCCAGCCTGGAGACAAGGAGGCTGAGGGGAGACCTTCTGGCTCTGCAACTGCCTGAGAGGAGGTTGGAGCCAGGGGGGGCTCCTTCTCTCAGGCTTCTCTCTTGGCCCTGGAGGTGATGAGCTACCTCTCCTGACCCTGAGGTTGCTGTTGACATGGACTCTCTGCAGGCTTGGTGTCCCTTTGGGTGGTGGCATTACCCTGTGACAGGCTGAGCTCCAAGAGTGACTCTTTGCCCCAACTCACTGATATGTCCCGGGGCTCTTGGTGTTGATAGCAGCACATGGATGCCAGGCTGTGGTCCCCAGGACGTGGGCTCTCCTTCTGCTCTCCCTGATGCATGTACTTTAAATCTCAGCAGAGATGGAGAAGAACATTGTCTTAATCGGCAGCTCCCTGTGAATTATTTAGTGGGATCTTGTCAAAATGAGGCATTTGTTGCTGTTAATGTCTCAATGGCAGCAGCTGCTGGCACTGTGGGTCCTTCCAGCCACAGGGACCTGCTGCTGTTCAGTGCATGCTTCCACGAGCACTCAACCCAAGGATGCCCACGGGAGCATCAGCATCACCCTCCGTGAGTTTTTATGGGTGGTTTGGTGATGTTGCTCAAGCAATGAACCAACCTGAGCTGTGATCTTTGCTTCAGCTCAGGTGGGACCCCGGAGCAAACATTCTGCTGCAGGTGTTGGCAGCGTGCGGGGGCCCCTGGGGGGGTTTTTGGTGGGAAATGGAAGAGGGTAAAATCTGTAGGGTTGCAGGGTTGGTCATGGGCCAGCAGCTCGTGGGAAGCCCCCACAGGAGCAGGTTGGCATCCCCCACATGCTGTGTGGCTGCCCATGGAAGCACGAACGCGCTGCCGCAGCATTCCTCTGGGAATGATGCATGATGTTCTTCCCAGTGCTGCTTCAAGATTGCCATATGAATAATGCTGCTACGAGGAGACTGTAAACATGGATTAGTTAAAATGAATGGATTATGAGGTTGTAAATCTGTCTGTAGGACTCTAATGCCATCATAGACTATTCACAGTTTGCCGCTGTCCCTTAATTGAAATTGTAGCCTGGATTATATTAATGCCCTTCTATAAATCGAATTGCAAATCTATATTCTCTCTCTCTCCGCAGCGTCAATGTTTTATTTAGTTAGTTTTCTCTGCCAGGGAAGTGATCCCGTTGTGCTGGGAGCCTGGGGTCAGGCTTGCTCTCCAGCCCACGTGCTGCCTTGGACTTGAAGAAGCTGTAGCCTTGTGTGCTGCCCTCCTTCCCTCCTTCCCTCCTTCCCTCCTTCCCTCCTTCCCTCCTTCCCTCCTTCCCTCCTTCCCTCCTTCCCTCCTTCCCTCCTTCCCTCCTTCCCTCCTTCCCTCCTTCCCTCCTTCCCTCCTTCCCTCCTTCCCTCCTTCCCTCCTTCCCTCCTTCCCTCCTTCCCTCCTTCCCTCCTTCCCTCCTTCCCTCCTTCCCTCCTTCCCTCCTTCCCTCCTTCCCTCCTTCCCTCCTTCCCTCCTTCCCTCCTTCCCTCCTTCCCTCCTTCCCTCCTTCCCTCCTTCCCTCCTTCCCTCCTTCCCTCCTTCCCTCCTTCCCTCCTTCCCTCCTTCCCTCCTTCCCTCCTTCCCTCCTTCCCTCCTTCCCTCCTTCCCTCCTTCCCTCCTTCCCTCCTTCCCTCCTTCCCTCCTTCCCTCCCTCCACCGGGTGCCTGGACCATCTTTCCAACCCATTTTTGAGTCTTATCAGGGCAGCTGAGGTGGTTGCCCATGTGGAGAAGGTGTGTTAGTGTCAGCTGGGAGCAATGGGGAGAGGTGTGCAGGGGCGTGAGGGTGAGATTTTCTTCTGGTGCTGGCATAGCTGGTGTTTCTCCACGTGTCCCACATCGTGTGTCCGTGACAAACTTCCTAGCACCCTTTGGGATCCTTCCTCCAGCCCTGCCCTGTGCGGGGTGGGGAGGTGGCACCTCCGTGGCCCATGGGCCACCGCCTCTGCTGCCCTCTCATCACCTCTCCCTTCTCCTTTCTGCAGTGGGAAGAAGTCAGCGGCTACGACGAAAACCTCAACACCATCCGTACCTACCAGGTGTGCAACGTCTTCGAGCCCAACCAGAACAACTGGCTCCTCACCACCTTCATCAACCGGCGTGGAGCTCACCGCATCTACACCGAGATGCGCTTCACCGTGCGGGACTGCAGCAGCCTCCCCAATGTCCCCGGCTCCTGCAAGGAGACCTTCAACCTCTACTACTACGAGACAGACTCTGTCATTGCCACCAAGAAGTCCACCTTCTGGACAGAGGCACCCTACCTCAAAGTGGACACCATCGCTGCTGACGAGAGCTTCTCCCAGGTGGACTTTGGGGGCAGGTTGATGAAGGTGAACACAGAAGTGAGAAGTTTCGGGCCTCTGACCCGCAATGGTTTTTACCTGGCTTTCCAGGACTACGGGGCTTGCATGTCCCTGCTCTCCGTCAGGGTCTTCTTCAAGAAGTGCCCTAGCGTGGTGCAGAACTTTGCCATCTTCCCGGAGACGATGACAGGAGCAGAGAGCACCTCTCTGGTGACTGCCCGGGGCACCTGCATCCCCAATGCTGAGGAGGTGGACGTGCCCATCAAGCTGTACTGCAACGGGGATGGGGAGTGGATGGTGCCCATCGGCCGCTGCACCTGCAAGGCTGGATACGAGCCTGAGAACAACGTGGCCTGCAAAGGTAGGGTTGCTAACCAGGCACTTCTAGTGCTTTTAAGCTTGGCTTCACAATATTGTTCTCCCCAGACAAGGTGTTTGGGGGAATGTCTGTGGTGAAATCGACTCTGTGCTGTTTATTTGGGAGTCCTGGTTGACAACGGGTTGGATACGAGCCAGCAGTGTGCCCAGGTGGCCCAGAAGGCCAATGGCATCCTGGCTTGTGTCAGGAATGGTGTGGCCAGCAGGAGTAGGGATGTGATTTTTCCCCCTGTGCTCAACACTGGGGAGGCCTCACCTTGAGTCCAGGGTGCAGCTCTGGGCTGCAAGAAGGACCTTGAGGTGCTGGAGCAGGTCCAGACAAGACAATGAGGCTGGTGAAGGGACTGGAGGGAAAGTCTTATAGGGGTGGGCTGAGGGAGCTGGGGGTGTTTAGTCTGGAGAAGAGGAGACTCAGGGGGGACCTTCTCACTCTCTACAACCACCTGAAGGAGGTTGTGCTCAGGTGGAGTCTGGGCTCTTCTTCCAGGCAACCAGCAAAAAGACAAGAGGGCCTGGCCTGAAGCTGCTCCAGGGGAGGTTTAGGTTGGATATCGGGAAGCACTTCCTCATGGAGAGGGTGATCAGACCTTGGGATGGACTGCCCAGGAACGTGGTGGAGGCACCATCTCTGGAGGTGTTAAAGGAAGGCTGGAGGTGGCACTTGGTGCCATGGTCTGGAGATGTGGTGGTGTCAGGTCACAGGCTGGACCTCATGGTCTTACAGGTCTTTTCCAGCCTTGGTGATTCCATGATTCTGTGATCTACCCTGAAGTGGTTTTGCTCTGGTGAGCGGGCAGGGATTTGGGAGCAGCCTCAGCCCGTGGCTTCTCGGTGGTGGCCAGAATCTGTGATCAGCGTGGCCAGGACATGGGCACAGCCACCCCTGGAAGCCACCTCTGTGATCTGGTGCCTTCAAAGCGCCGCTTTCATCCGCCTCGTTATTCCCCGGGAAGCCGCGGGAGCGGAGCGGCCGCCGGGCCCGGCTGTGCCGACGCTGCTCTGATCCTCTGCATTAATTGGCATTTCTTGCTGCTGGTTTTTTGGGTTCCCCCAGCCACGCTGCCAGCTGGAGTCCTCCACGGCACCAGGTCATGAATATGGAAATGGTGCTTTTCATCTCCTCTTGCTGTTCTGATGAATATTTCCCAAGTACCATTGGAGAATTATTTGGTGGTTTTGTTGTTTTGTTTTTCTTGACTTGCTGCCCTTTCCTGCTCCTCTCCCAAATGAAGGTGCTGGTTTTTGTGTGCTGTTAGAAGACGAGAGGGGGTTTTGCGTGAGAAGTTAATCCCAGTTCATTGGTGCTTTCCAAGAAGATGGGCACCACCAGGTGAAGGAAGGGTTGGGAAGTTTTCACCTGAGAGGGCAGTGACAGGACAAGGGGTGATGGTTCTAAACAGAAAGAGGGGAGATTTAGGTTGAAAGACGTTCTTTAACATCAGGGTTGTAAGGCACTGGTTGCCCAGGGAGGTTGTGAATGTCTCCTCCCTGGAGGTGTCCAAGGGCAGGTTGGATGAGGCTTGTGCAGCCTGGTCTGGTGGGAGGTGTCCCTGCTCATAGCAGAGAGGTTGGAACCTGATGATCCTTCAGGTTGCTTCCAACCTTCCCTATTTTATGATTCTAAGAAGGAGAAGGTCAAAGGCAGGTGTCAGTGCTTTAGGGCTGGTTTTGGGGAAGGAGGTAACAGGAAGAGGTCTGGCTGGGACCTCTTTTGGTGTAGATGGCAGCAGATGGAGCACCAGGCTTGGCTGTGATGCTCCTTGGTGTGGCCACCCCAGTGTTTCTTCTCCACCTGTAACTCCAGATACATGAAAATGTCAAAGTTGGGATTCAGGCTATGGAGAAACTTTTTTGCTGGCTTTAAACCCAGGAGCTTGTCAAGTTTTTCGCTGTGAAAAACCTTTCTTCTGCCTGTCCAAGTGATGCCTTCCCGTGCCAGGCCTCCCAAAAACTGGGATGCCACCCGAGTCCATGCACTTCCACATTGAGCTGCCTTGCTGCTGGGAATCCTGTTGAGTGTTGCAGTTGATGCTGAGCGTGGTTTTGTTCCCACCAGGAGATGTTCTGTTCCCATAAGGAGCTGCAGTGCTCCATGGGTGGGAGGGCGCTCCACAAACCCAAGTGTTCCTGGCAAGATGTTCCTCTGCTGTTGAGTAAACAAACAGAAAGTGCACATGGTTTTGTGGCAAAATGACATTTTCTCATTGTGCAGAAATAAATGCTAATTTCAGCTGAAGACTGGGACTGGGAAATCGTGTCATTTTTTGCCAGAAATCTGGGAAAACAAGGATTATGGAAAACCTGTCCCCGGTTTTGGTGGTCTTGACCTTTCTATCCTGGGGTGGTGGAGGAGGCTGAGGTCTTGAGTGCCTCTGGGGCCCTGGGAGGAGTGTACTGCAGCCACCCAGCACTCACAGCTTTGGGCAGGGTGGCAGGGGACAGCCTGGCAGTGCTCAGGGTGATTGTTGGACCTGTCTCTGTGGCTTTTTTGGTTTCCTTTTCTCATGCAAACCCCCCGATGGTTGTGATGGTTTTGTGCCATCACAGCTGGGCCAAACAAAGCCCTTGCGTGCAAGGAAGTCACTGAATTTTTTGTGCCACAGTGTCCATCTCCATCCATGCTCCCCCTCCTCAGTGGCAGCAGCAATGACAAAAGAAACACTTTGTGGCATCAGGAGTGGGCTCTGTGAAGCTTCCAGCCAGAGCTTTGCATGTGTGGTGGGAGAAGGCTTTGCATTTGAGCTCCTTTGTGGGGAGAATTCAGGGTCCTGGTAGGTCTGAAGGGGTAGAAATGTCCTCATGGCTTGGAGCATTTGGAGTCCTGAAAAGCAGCAGAATCCACTGTGGGTGCAGACCAAGCAGGTGGCTAAAGGGCACCAAGCACATGCTTGGTGACAAGATCATGCTTTTTTGATGGTCCTGTGGGCACTGCCAGGTGCTGGTATGACGCTGTCTCCAGAGCAGAGCTCTGATACCTCCCCTCTCCAGTTCTTTAAGGGTATTTCCCAGTTCCTGTGTCGGGGAGAGATGAAATGCTGGAATGGTGAGTGGGACCTGCATGTTAGAAGGTCCTGCTCAGTGCTGGTGAGGAACATAAAGCTGCCAGGCCCTCCTAGAAGTTCACTAAAACCATCCCTAAAAGCCAGAACCAGGATTTAGGTTAGAAGGGTTGGAAAATCAACTGTGTTTGAGTAAAAATCTGACCTTGGGTTGGACTCTGGCTTCTTGGTGCACCTTTTGGCCCTTAGGCTCCTCTTTTCCCTGTGGTCCTTGGAGACCACAAGGGAGGACCTGGGCCCGTTTCCCAAAGGTTAGCAGGCAGGAGGTGGCACGTGGCAAGGTTTAGAAATAATAATTTGTTGTTTTTCTGTTTGTCATTGTGCAGGGTCATATCCCCCTGCCTTGTTCCCCTGCTGGGTTCTCCTGGCAGGGATGCTCCCAGGAGGCACATGCTCCTGACATCTGCTCAAAGCCTTCATCAGCCTGAGATGAGCCACTTAACAAGCCTGGGGGAATTGTCACCAAGGGAAATGAAAAAACCAAAACCAACCCAACCAAAAAAATACCTCGATATTTTAAGGCTGAGAAAATGTGCTTCATTCTTCAGCAGTGAGGGGGGAAAAAAAAACCAACTCTGGGTTGAATTGTTCAGCTCCCTCAGCTCTTTCATCCCTCCCACCCCCCCCTGGGGACAGGGCCTGTGTCTATCATGGGGCTATTAGACCTGAGTAGTTTTGTGCTGACAGCAGAGCTTGAGGCCACTGAGGTATTCATTAATACCAGCTTTTATCAGCACTTAGCTACCCGTGGAAGGCACAGGCAGAACACCATCCTCAGCGGGGGGATTTTGAGCCCCAAAGAGATGATCATCACATTTTAGGGTCGGAGTGAGGAGGGGTCGTCACTGCCACGACCCTGAGATGGAGATGGGTGGGAGGCAGATCTTCTAGATTGGTTGTTTACCCCTTATTTTTTTTTCATCCTGGGCTGGTTGGGGTTTGACCCTCAAGACCTCATGGCTGGGTGTGAAGCCACATTGCTCTCAGCTAGGATGATGGCACGTTGGACTGGGAAGCTTGCTGAGCTGTCTGCCCCACCCTTTGCAGCACCTCCTGCCCGTGGGAGCTGTGGGTCAATGTGAAATGGAGGCAGTTATTGAATCCAAAATGAATAATTCATTTGATGTCAGAGCCCACGCTCCGTTCGGGTTGATATTAAATCCATTCGTCTTGCTCTGCCCCGTCCCTCAGCCCTGCTTTATGGCTTCCTGGTGTGGTCAAGGTGCAATGCATCATCCTGCTGGGGAGGAGGTGGGAGGAGAAGTGGGAGCGGGGATTGTTGGGAGGCTGGGGAAATCACTGGAGACCTTGGAGGAGCCTGCTGGGTGGATTTTGATTGTTCCCCTCAAGGAATGTTATTAACCCCTTTCTCTGCTGGTGTGTGACTCTGAAACCTAATGATGGCAGGGTAACCCCTCACTAGAGGGATGGCAGTCGTGGGTCTTTCAGCTTTCATCCCTTCTGACTTGGAGGATGGGACACTGTCTGCTGGAATCATGCTGGGTCTTTCTCTGAGCTTCCCAGTGCCAGGAGGTAACTCAGAAGCAGCCAGCCAAGGGAAAAATCTGGATCTAAAGCAGCTTGGTGTTGAATATTCACTTTGTGTGTCTAAACCCAGGGAGTTGGGGCAGGAGAGCAGTCCTGCTGGTCTCACTTTTGTTTGCCCCTCCTGCCAAGTTCAGGGTCAGGAGCCTCCAACCTGCTATGGCTTGAGATAACAAACTGACCTGCCTGTGTGTGTGGCTGGAAACCTGAGCTGGCAGGGGTGACAAAAGGAAAAAAAAAAAGATTAAGAAAGTTGGGCTGTGATGCCCAGGGTGCAGCAGCTGCCTCTGGAGCATCCTTGCTCCCTGGCATTCCT